GTATCATTCAGCTTATTCAGGATATTTGCTTTTTGCAACTTTATAGATTTTGAAATATTCAACTTTACATTTTTTGTAATAAAAAAAACTCTTCAAAAACGTGAAAGTTGGGACATTTGACTGGAATATTTTCTGCTGTTATCTACTGACGTATCTACTGTTGTGTCAGGTTTACCTTTTAGCTGCTATATTGCCCGGATTAGTTACTACTTTTCTCACTTTTTAAGCTTTTAGCTACTGTTCTGTCAGGTTTAGCCATTAGCTCTTTTTTTCCAAGATCAGCTTTTAGTTTCTGTTTTCCCAGATTTAGAATGATTAAATTCTACTCCTTGTCATTCTTGATTCATTAAAAACCCTTCTCTCCTGATATTAGTACATTTAAACTTCCTCTCTGAAGGAAAGTGAGTTTGGCTGCAATTCAATTCAATTATAAAAATATTGAGTTTGTGAGGAAATATTGGACACTTTCTGCTGGAAGGATGAGACTTTTACAGACTGAGCCAGCTTGTTCATTAATAAGACTTTGGAACAGAAAGAAACATCTGACCTGATTCCCATAGTTGTGTTTTTAAGTATAAAAACTTCACAGGTAAAACTACTCAGTTGGCTTAATATATTATTATTTTTAGAGTAGAAATTTGTCTGAAAAGGAAACTGCTTGTTAGGTAATTATGTAGTTAATGTAGCGCAACAGCCATGAAGAATTTAACAAATGAACTATGCAAATTTCTCAACAGAACAGCTGTAAAATAAAAGTCAAACCATTTATTCCAGTTGTTCTCTGAGGGTCATAGTTTTTTTTAAGTTTGTTATTGGTCTGCATTGTCTTACCTTTATTTGGATGCATTTTGAATAATAAGTCTGTATGATTACTCAGCCTGATGACATGCTGCAAGACCCTCAGGCACCCTGTATTTAACCTGAAGCAGCATCAGTACCAGTCTGGGTACACCTTTATAATCAAGTATAAATGTTTACTTTTATGTTGTCTGGGGTGCCTATTGCAGTAAAACAGAATGCACAATGATGTTTATTTTCTCTGAGAGGAAGACACAGTTTGTAACAAGGCCAGAAGGGCTGCTCCAAGCAGAGTCTTTGTTTGCATCTTTAAATGTTTTGTAAATAATGAAAAAATGAAAGAAACTGAGTAAAAGGCCTCATCAGAGCCATGAAATCATGTTTGGTTGGCATCAGTAAAGTACCTGTTTAGCTGGAAGTGATAAAATTATGTAAAAGCTACATACGCCTAGTTTTATTAATGATGTGTAAAAAGCTGAAATGCTTCTTTTTAAAAACTATAGCTGTAGTTYTACTGCAATAACTTCATCCAGTCTTTTTTTTTTTCAGTAAAACTATAAAAATTTGAAGCAAATCATACTTAAGAGTATCTCTCAACTCTAAAATGTGTCCAGTAAGTATTCAAATTAAAATAAAAGTATGCTAAGAAGAATTATATGTGCCATCTTTGTAAAAGAGCATGTGTATTCTCCAATTAAAGTGGAGTTGTTATGGAAATCATGACGATAAAGTCTCATTATAGTTTTTGGGATAATAATAGCTCTCTAATAACTTGGTAGTGTGACCTCACTGCCTGACTCAACATCTGTCTTAACATTTATTAATTGGTGCAGCTCATGAGATTAGAAATCAATTTGAACTTCTGCTCTGTGTCACTAACACAATTATCTCATGAGCTATTTAAGTCTGCTGTGTGTTTCGAAGTTTACGCTCCGCAGAGCTCACTGGGAAGCCGGCTGATGTTTTTGTCAACTCTTCCTCCTCAGCACCACAGAGATGGAGCATGAGGTTGCCTGCTTGGACATCACGCCTCTGGGGGAGGGGGGAGGCGAGTCGCTGCTCTGCGCCGTGGGACTGTGGACTGACATCTCCGCCCGTGTCCTCAAGCTGCCCTGCTTCACCCCACTGCACAAAGAAATGCTGGGCGGAGGTGAGAGGAAGGAGAGGCTGAAATTCACAGACAGGAAACACGGAGGGCTGGTACTGGCTTAAAGAGAAAGCTAGGCATGGAGGAGAAAACATCAAATCAAGTCGGGCAAAATTGACATTTTGATGCCTTGTTGAGCATCTTTGTGTTTCTAGATATGTGCAAAACCAACGGAAAAAGGCTGAAAAACATTAGTAATTTAAACCAATTTGAACCAAAAGTTTTATGATATAACATAATAGATTTTTATATTTCTACTTTCAGGTTTCTTTTATGTTTTAAAATTAGCTGTCATTGCTGTAACTTTAAAAAAAAACTTTACAAATGCTTTATTTGACAATAAACGGGTATTGTCAAGTATTGATTAAATGAGCTCCTTTGCAGAATGGATATTAATGTGGTTTGAGTACCCCCGTAAACCTGGGGTCTATGTTGTTTGGGGCGTTAGTGCCTTGGCAAATTGGCCTCAGGAGGGATCAGAGTAAAAGCTATTCAAAGGCTTTAACAGAGTCGGATCACAATAGACTGACAGACAGCCTCAGATAAAGGCAACCAGGGCAGCATCATGGATCCAGGCCTGSAAGGAAGCTTTTCATTGAATGCCTGGTGGTGGAGCATAGGATCCTGAGGCTTGGTTGGCCCTAGCTGGGAAGAAAATCTAGAAAGCCACCTCCATATGAGCACTTGTGGGGACAGCTTGTTGATTCTTGGCATACCAAAATGGTTATAGGTTCGTGCAATGTCGCCTGACTGACATTATAGGAGCCAGAACATGTTTGTGAGTTACAGCAAGTCGATATAGTTGCTCAAACACACTTGATTTGCATGAATGGATGATTAACAAACTTCACCAGAGTTTGAAGAGTTAATTGAGTCACTAAATCAGGTGTGTTGAAGCAGTGAAACTAAGGCCGTGTCTCAATTCTTGGGTTGCAGCCGATGTCGGGCACATTTGTCAGCCACTTATGTCACTGCTCCGTGCCGTAGGCTGTTCCAATTTATAAGCACCTACTCACGCGACTGACAAAACCCCGAAAACGTAGGCTGCATCCAAGTATCCTACGCGGCCAACTGTACCCCAGAATTCATTGTGCCATCAACAGATGGAACAGAAAAAATTTTTACGGCGGATGTTTTTTATTTTTATTTTATTTTTTATCACAGACCAAAGAATGTAAGTTAAGCAACTTAGCTGAAGAAACTTGATGCAATGAAATGATAAATAAAACGCAATTACATGTACTGATATTGGAGCTAAATCCAAATTATTAATGCTTTTTGTTTATTTAGTTGTAATGTTTTTTTTTACTGAATTTTGTGAAGTTATACTTTAAAAAAACAAATGAAGCCATGGTTATAAAAACGTATCACCATGCTAACAAGGCAGCACGTGGTTATGCAAACATATGATTATTATGCGGGCGACACAAGCAGCCTACGGCCGACGTAGACTATGGCCAATGTCAGCCACAGTCTACGTGCAACCCATGAATTGAGACACAGCCATAGACAACATAGAGGACACTGGCCCTCAAAGACCAGAGTTTCACGCCCCTGTCCTAGAGAATGACTGATCCTTTTCTACTCTGGAGTTGTTCTGGAAGAGAGGCATTGGACAAGTGTTTTTTGTACTTATTCACTGAACATCAGCTCAGATAATCTGGCCTTCTTGGAGTCTCTAGATGGTGTCTTGGAAGGAGTTCCTTCTGGTGAATGTTTTTCTGTTGAAGGACTTCTGTGCACAACTAGGCAATGGTAGGATCACCTGGAAGGGGGTGATTTTATGCCCTTGGCTGGTTCACAGCCGATTATGTAGCAGCATAATTAGTTCAGCTATTTTGATCTTGTGCTAAGAATTAGAAATCAAAAGCATTTTTTGTATATATTTCTTTGTAAACATGAAACCAGAGCCAGCAGGCCATTCTTTTAAAATGGGGAAAACTGCTCAGTCATGCTAAAAACCTAAATGTCCATAAAAGTTATAAATTAACTTCTCTTGGTTTTATTTGGGACATTTAATTTTTTGGGTCTTGCACATTAAACTTCTTTTGCCTTATCAGTAGTTCTGCTCAGGCAGCTATTCGTTGAACTCTGGTAGACGCTGTAACATGTGGGAGGTACAGATGGTAGAACCAGATCTTTTAAAAGCTTTATATAAAAAAAATCCAAGGCATGTGCTCTAATTAAATAATGTAAATGGCCTTTTGCATAAAGTGCTTAATACTTTTTTGTATGTACCTTGATGAGCACTTGAGCTTCAGCTATGCTGCTACGCTTTTAATGTACCTTTTAAACACTTATAACAAGTATTTATGAGAAGAAGCGGGGAATAAGTTCACATTAAGGTGATCTGAGTTGGGTAGAATTTATTCTTCCAATTAAAGGATTTATTCATGAAGAACATCTTATATATTTCCACAATGTCAGTTTTTCCACCACYTTTGATAGGCAGCTGTTTAATGCTTAAAGTTTTAAAAGTATGTTCTCGTTTTCTTACGAAAATCTACCAATTTGAGAGCAGAACTTCAGCAGAAAAACTTTAATTTAAAACTTTACAAGCTATTCGAAGTATTGACGTTTTACTTCTATCACTTGAATCAGACTATTTTTTTTCCTCTGCAGCTTTTTGCCTTAAGATATGTTCATTTTCACCACTGATTATGTTTCTGATTTGAATTCAGTAAAATATATYTAATTTTTTTTTCTTGACTGACTTTTTTTAATATATAACACTTCTGCTTTCTGTAGAACACCATCCTGATGGAACAAGCCTGCGGTTAGAGAAACAAAAAGCTTTGGAACTGAAAATAAGATCCTTTTTTTTATCCTGCAGTGTACAAATGTTTATCAGAAATGTTTACAGTCAGCCAAAGGAAAAAGTCATATTTGCAGGTTTTATCACTGTTGCTGTGAAATCTGTTAACTTCAAAGTGCAGGAAAAATAAATGACCTATTTGTGTGTGTGTGTGTGTGTGTGTGTGTGTGTGTGTGTGTGTGTGTGTGTGTGTGTGTGTGTG